GAAGAGAAAAAATCCAAATTTTCCTAATTTGGGTGGTTTTCCCTGGATAAAATCCAAAAAACCTGACTTTTAATAGGAAAAAAAAAAAAAAATTGAGCAAATTCTGGATGACAAAATTTCTAAAAAAATTAATATTTGAAGGGGGGGGGGGGGAAAGCCCTAAAAAATCGAATTTTTGGCTCATTTTTTGGGAGGGAAAAAAGTTCCAAAACCCCAAAATTCTGCGGATCTTTCCCGGACAAAATTCTCAGAAATTTAACTTTTATTAGGAAAAAAAAAAATTTTTTCATTTTTGCCATTTTTGGGGGGGGGGAAAAAAAAAATCCTAAAAAAACCGAATATTTGAGGCAGAAAAATCTCTAAAAAAATTAATTTTGTGGCGGGAGGGAAATTCCCTAAAAAATCGAATTTTTGGGTTTTTTCGCGGGGGGAAAAAAAGCGCCGAAACCCCAAAAAATTCGGATTTTTCCTGGCTCAAATTCCCAAATTCCCAAATAACGCCAGGATTTCCTTTCCCAGTGTTCCCGTGTGGGGTGGATTCCCCGGAATGGGAATATTTCTCCGGGCACTGTTATTATTTCTCGCTGGCTCGGCTGAGCTGGGAGCGGGCGCGGGAGCAGTGCCGGGAGCGTCGGTCACAGCTCGTCGTGGTGGGTGGCTTTGCTGAGCAGGTGAGTTTAACCCCGAGACTAAATCCTAATCCTGAGTCTAAATCCTGATCCTAAATCCCAAATCCTGAGTCTAAATCCTGATCCTGAGCCCCAATCCCAAATCCTGAGTCTAAATCTTGATCCTGAGCCCCAATCCCAAATCCTGAGACTAAATCCCAAATCCTGAGTCTAAATCCCAAATCCTGAGCCCCAATCCCAAATCCTGAGTCTAAATCCTGATCCTGAGCCCCAATCCCAAAGGGAATTCCCAAGCCGTGCTGGGCGGCTTCGCTGAGCAGGTGAGTTTAACCCCGAGATTAAATCCCAATCCTGAGACTAAATCCCAAATCCTGAGACTAAATCCCAATCCTGAGACTAAATCCCAATCCTGAGACTAAATCCTGAGTCTAAATCCTGATCCTAAATCCGTAATCCTGAGTCTAAATCCCAATCCTGAGACTAAATCCCAAATCCTGTTCCTGGGTTCAAATCCCAAATCCTGAGCCCAAATCCCAACGATCTCGATCCCAAATCCCAACGATCTCGATCCCAAATCCCAATTATCCCAATTATCCCCAAATTCTCCCAATTTTCCCAAATCCCAAATCGGAATCTGGGGCTGCAGCAGTTCCTGATGTCGCGGACCCGGAACGAGCGATTCTGGATCGGCCTCACGGATCAGAATTCCGAGGGAAACTGGGAATGGGTGGATGGCACCGAC